GGTGATCCTAAATCAACTAATGATGATATTGATGTTATTCTTGAACAGGTTATGCAATAAGTTCCAGATGAGCCATAATTGAGGAGGTCAATTAGACCTCGCCAATCTTCCACTAAATATTCTTCTTATGGGTATGTGTTGGTTACTGATAGGGGAGAGTCAAAATACTTTGATGAAGCTATGTCACATGAGAAGAAAAGTGAGTGGTTGGAAGCTATGCAATAAGAGATGAAATCCTTGAATGAAAACCATACTTTTGAGTTAGTGAAGCTTCCAAAAGGTAAGAGAGCAATCAAGAACAAGTAGGTGTTCAGGTTGAAAATTGATGAACATTGCTCACAACTAAGGTATAAGGCAAGATTGGTTGTGAAAGGTTTCGGTCAGAAAAAAGGGTATTGATTTTGAAGAAATTTTTTCACCAGTGGTTAAGATGTCTTCAATATGAGTTTTGCTTAGTTTAACTACTAGTTTGAATCTTGAAGTTGAACAACTTGATGTGAAAACTATCTTTCTTCATGGTGATTTAGATGAGGAGATCTATATGAAGCAGCCTGAAAGGCTTCAAGCAAAATGTAAAGAGCAGTTAGTTTGGAAGTTGAAAAAGAGCCTATATGGGTTAAAACAAGCTCTAAGACACTAGTATAAGAAGTTTGATTCTTTCATGATAGATCATGGTTATGATAGGACCACTTTTGATCATTTGTATTTATGAAAAGGTTTCTAGATAGAAACTTTATTACTCTCTTATTGTATGTGGATGATATGTTGATTGTTGACCATGATGCTAAGGACCACTTTTGATTCTTTCATGATAGATCATGGTTATGACAGGACCACTTTTAATCATTTGTATTTATGAAAAGGTTTCTAGATAGAAACTTTATTACTCTCTTATTGTATGTGGATGATATGTTGATTGTTGACCATGATGTTAAGGAGATTCAGATTTTGAAGGAAGAGTTGAGCAAGTCTTTTGCAATGAAAGACTTAGGACCAACAAAACTGATTCTTGGCATGAAGATCACACGTGATAGGAAGAAGAAGAAACTTTGGTTATCTCAAGAGAGATATGTTCAAAAGGTACTTAAGAGATTCATTATGAACAACTCCAAACCTGTTTGTTTTCCATTTGCAGGCCATTTTAAACTAAGTTCTAAGCAGTGTCCTTTAAGTGATGAAGAAAGAGATAAGATGAAAAAGATTCTTTATACATCCATAATTGGTAGCTTGATGTATGCCATGGTTTGCACAAGGTTGGATATAGCTCATGCAGTTGGTGTGGTTAGTCGGTTCCTCTCTAATGCTAGTAAAGAACACTGGTCAGTAATGAAATAGATACTCAGGTATCTCAAAGGTACTTCTAGTTTCAGCTTATGTTTTGGTAATAATAAACCTGTGTTGGATGGATATATAGATGCAGATATAACTGGTGATGTTGATTCTAGAAATTCCACATTAGGAGACTTGATGAAGTTTGTAGGGGGAGCAGTTTGATGACAATTAAGATTGCAAAAATATGTTGCATTATCCACTATAAAGGCTGGATATATTGCTCTTACTAAAGGGGAAAAGAGTTTTTATAGATGAAAAAGTTCTTACATAAACTTGGCCTCGTTTAAGAGAACTTTGTGTTGTACTATAACAGTTAAAGTGCAATTCATCTTAGTAATCATCCTACTTTTCATTCTTGATCAAAGCACATTGAGATTAGAGATATATTGCTCTTACTAAAGGGGAAAAGAGTTTTTATGGATGAAAAAGTTCTTACATAAACTTGGCCTAAAAGAGTTTTTATAGATGAAAAAGTTCTTACATAAACTTGGCCTCGTTCAAGAGAACTTTGTGTTGTACTATAACAGTTAAAGTGCAATTCATCTTAGTAATCATCCTACTTTTCATTCTTGATCAAAGCACATTGAGATTAGATATCAATGGATTCAAGATGCTATAAAGATCAAGTTATTCGTTGTTGAGAAGATCCATACCGATAACAAAGACATGATGACCAAACCTCTACCGAGATAGAAGCTTGAATTTTGCAGAAGGGAAGCAGGCTTGGTAGAGTCTCCTAAATTGAATCTTACATGTTGATCGCCAGTATGATGAATTCCTCATATAGTGCAGGAGAGGGAGATTTATTGTGTGTGGTCCCACACCATATGATGATGGGACCACCATATTCATTGTTAAGAGACAATAACATAACTGTCTCTTGAAATTAAAAAGATAATGCTTACTATTCATAACAGATTTGAAAAAGAGAAAATAGAAGAGAGAAGGGAAAAAAGGAGGAAGAAGAGACAACTGTATTCTTTATCTTTATTCATTGATTCCTTATTCGTTCACCATTAGATCGAGATAAGATTTTGACAGCAGCTTTTAGATTACTCTTCATTCAGAACGGTTAGATTAAAGATTAGTGATATGGAAGCTGATTGTTTTGATAGAAAACGAAGTTGTTAGTGTTGTGAACTTTTCTCAAACATTTCTCTCTTTAATCTTGTAATATTCCAAAATATGCTGTTCTTGATGATATGTATGTTATAGCTTTTAGTTGTATCTGAGGAAGAATGATTGTGAACCCATTATTTGTTGATAGTAGAAGTTTTTAAGTGGACCACGGTCCCGTGATTTTTCCCGTATCGGGTTTTTCACATAAAAATCTTGGTGTTGATTTGTATGATTATTAATTTATATTTATTGATTGTTTGATCCTAATCTTGATTGCATAAAGAGGGAAAAGAATAACTTGTGAATTATGAATTAATCTGGGTATATTGGTGTCCGGTTATTTGTTCCTAATTTTCCCAACACAGGATAAGGTGTGTACGTAGTCAAACATTCTAATTATTTGTTCCTAATTTTCCCAACACATGATAAGGTGTGTACGTAGTCAAACATTCTCAAAGCTGGAACTAAAACCTACTTGTTTCCTGCCTTAAGAAATGCGCACGAGTTGTTGACCAATCACATGCCTATGCATCCTATGCATGTATTGCTTCTCCAATTGATGTCCTACGCAAAAAGCACTGAAAAAGGTTAGAAACTATTACATAACAAGAGGTATTTTACAAGGAATTACTATTGACTTGTTAAAGAATAATCAATCTAAATCCAAAAACTTTCATTGCTAAGTGAGGCATTTAGAATTGTTTCATATTATTCTCTTACACACCTAGCTCATAAAAATTCTATTCCCCAACATCCTTTGTATGACTTCTTCAAATAGTATGATCATAAGTTTGAATTTTCTTAGACAGGAATGAAACTAGAAAATAAAATTAAAAGAGGTTAAGATTTCAGTTGTTTTACTATTTAAATTAAAACTGTAAATATTATTAAAGGAGAGGCTAGAAAAAAAAAATCCTTGTAAGGGCTGGGGTTTCTACTAGCCTCTCTTTATCCCCGTCTTTATTTTTAACATTATTGAAAGCTTATATAATTATTAATTTTAAAACTTGTGGAATTAATTAAGATATATTCAAACTGAACATCTATATTAATAAAAATATTTAAAAAAATTGATATTCGGAGAAACCTTGACATTATTAAGGGGTACCCCATTTTACTATCCTCACAATAATATTGTCCGCCTCCCTTGTCCTTGTTACTCGTGATTCTCCTTTTCTCTTACTAATATGAGAAGAGAAGGGCTAACTTATACGACAGTGTTGGTGAATAGAAATGATCTTGGAGAACATTCTAACTCAACCACCAAATGCTTAATCAAAAAGATAAGTGAAAATTGAGCACAAGCTCACTCGGATACCCACATTAATCTAAAAAAAAGACAAGTGAAAATGCCGTGATGCAGCAATATTGCTACTTCTATGACAGGACAAGTGAAAATGCCATGATGCAGCAATATTGCTACTTCTATGACATATTACCCAAGGACAATAGTGTAGCAAGAGAAAATGTTTACAGTACTATACTAACAAACCTAGTTGCAAGCTGTACAAAACCACATCCTCTTCCAGCAGGAATCTTGACAGAGGCAATCTCCCCAAGCTGCGGAAAGGCTTGCCTCAAGTCCTCTTCCGTGAAAATAGGATCCAAGTTACCGACAAAGATATGCAATATGAAAAGACAGTCAGAGAAATACACAAGAAACAATCAGCAAAAAACTGAAGTCTGCCTATCTTATTGTGGTATTAGTAACGTCACTATCTGCTGAAACCACTTGGACTGGTGCGGTGTATGCAGGAGCTAGATAGAAGGCTGCAGAAACGGACTGAAGATGAGAGTGATGCACTTGAATGCCAAGAGTGCAAGCTGTTAATTGCAGGGTATGGCCATGAATGCTTAGTTGCAGAAACCTCGTACATTTTGCTAAGTTTTAAGTTGTTTTAAACCATAATTTCCAGGACGCAGTTTCACTTTAAATGGGATATGAAAATGCTTCATTCAAAGGGTAAACAAGTTGTTACTAGCACGAATCACTACCTATACGGTGAAGAAAAAACCCTCTATCAACATAGCTTTGTCAAGGTAAAATTTGAAACTAGAGCACCTGTAAAAAAAATTACAATTTGCTTCCAAGGAATAAACACAGTAATAGGAGTAATGTAAATTTTTTGGCAGAATAACAATATTTACAAAACATTTAGAATATTTTTACTATCAAGCATAACAAGTGAAGCCTGACATTTATTAAGCGCAACAAAATAATTTTCTCATTTTAGAATAGCGGTAGTTAGTAAATTTGTTCAAGGCTCACACAACATAAGAAAAGGCATTAAGCAAAGGAGTTGAAGCTCAGAAAGGAAACGAGCTCGTAGAACAAAATAAATAAATGAAGACCAGGTTAAAGAGGAGGAAAATCCCATAAACAATCTTTGCCATTCCCAACGAACCTCTCTTTCACTATTCTTAGAACTTGAACTTGTTTGAAAATATGATTGGGTTTTTTTTTTTTTAATGTAATTATGGTTGATTTTAAGTGCAAAAAAAAGGGATGAAACTACTAATCACAATCGAAATGTGAAAAGGGTGGGAGTAGCTGGCTTTGTACTGGGAGAATGTGAACTAAAATATAAAAATGCTGGCAACAGCGAAGAAAGTCTCCCTCCCATCCCACTCCATGCAACCGTGTCGAAATCGGTATCTCCTTCAAACACAAACAGCATATTTTGTTTTTCATTTTTTATCTCACCTTCTTTTCCTTCTCTTTTTCGCTCCATCACTGCGTTGGCATTGCGTATTGCAGGCTTGGTGAGGAATATTAATGGCGTGGCCAGCTGTACTCGTTATTGTCCCTGTTGGAATCATTTTCATACTCTCTGGTCTCATTGTTAATCTCATCCAGGTCATTCATTGTTAATCACCCTTTACTTTCTTGGTTTCTTTTTCGTTAGTTATGCTTCTTGGTTTTTATTTGGATGTTTCTTTGATGCTCTCTTGTCTTTCTGGGATTTATCAAGTTTGCGTTACTTGGGAATTTGACAATACTGGAGAAGTTCAGATCTATATAATGTGTATCACCCCAATGGAGGCAAACGGTAATATATGCCTTTGCAAGTTAAATGTGTCTTCTGGGAATGACGCACAATCAATTAAGGATATAAAGCTGTGATCTTTGATGACTCTGGGACGCGCAGCTGTAATTTTCTTGTTTCTGATTGTTCAATATCTAAATCTAGTTCATCCAAGGAAAATGCCTTTCTTCCGTGTTTGACTGGCTCTGATTATTCTACCCATTATAGCAGTATACGATTTTGGTTTCAGGATTTTATTAAGAAGAGTCGTATGAACCCATTGGCAATGAAATATACGATCTCTGTTCTGGGATTTTTCATGAGAAGCAACTCTAGAACAATCATAAAGAAATGATGTGATTTGTCTGTGCTGCCTAAATCAGAAAAAAACAATAAGATCTTGCAGATCTTGTAATGAGGTGAATGAATATCTTGTATAGGTGACTTATTTCGTTTGGCCTAATGGTATCTTTCTAATGATTCTGTCTATTTACTAAGGTTATATGAGTTTTGTTCCATTTCATAATATATGTCTCTAGTTATCTCCCCTTGAATTCCAATGCTTTTCTGTTTATTTGAAAAACAGGGATCCTTAGTCTTGAATATGACTGTCAATCATGGGTTTAGTTTTTCACTTCTTCATGAAATTTTTATCATGGTCTATGTTTCTCTATTTTATTTTCTTTCTCAAGCTCCCGACCTCCAAACACCACCCTCACGACTCAGGGGAAAATAAAAACATAAATAAGAAACAAAATTTTTGTTTTTTCCCTCCGTTAAATTAAAGCTATGAATGATATCTTTTAACCTTCTGCTATCGTAATTTATTTCTTGCTTTTACTCATATCTTGCACTTCGCAGGCAGTTCTTTTCATCCTTGTTCGTCCCTTGTCCAAGAGCCTGCACAGAAGGATCAACAAAATAGTTGCAGAATTGCTTTGGTTGGAGCTCATAGTGCTCGTTGATTGGTGGGCAAATCTGAAGGTGCTTAAATTCTTCTTTAAATTGCTTTTTATGGTGTTAAGCTTTTGATTCTCATCTTATCTGACAGTTATTCATAGATCATCCATACAATAAGTTCCAAGAAAACCTCCTTAATTTCTAGAGTCAGGTACTCATGTCATTGACATGAGTATTCCCATTAGAATCCGCACCACCACCACTTACCCACACAAAAAGTAAACAAAACAAAATAAAATGAAATAAAGAAAAGAAAAGAAAGAGAGGATTCTCAAAATGTAATGTGCATTATCTCTGGCATTTTTTTTTCATGCAATGCCCTTGATGCTCTTGGAATTATGAGAGAATAGAACGCATGCACCTCTGGAATGAAAGTTCCTTTTTTTTGCATTTCTTTAATTTCTTATTCTGCGAGTAATTTGTGGGAGTTCATATTTTATTATCGTTCAAATTTTCTTATGAACTCCATTTCCACCTACTTTATTGATTGCTTGGAAAATTTGCAATCGAGTTCTTACTGATTGTTCTATATGTAACCATGAATCTGCAGTTTTTTCCCCGACTTGCCTGATGAGTTTTCCCCTTTGTGGTCTAACTAGTTAGAACTTCTCAATGCAGATTGAAGTGTATGCAGATGATGAAACTTTTGAATTGCTAGGTGTAACCCTGAGGTTTCTCTTCTTTTTTTGCTTTCCATAGTATAACCTTAACTTTTAACCCATGTTCAGAATTATTTTTTATTTGAGAACTTTCCAGGTAAAGAACATGCGCTTGTCATTAGCAATCACAAGAGTGACCTTGATTGGCTTGTCGGATGGATCTTAGCTCAGGTGCTGAATTCTGCTTGAAGCAATTAGATAAAACTAGTATTCGTTGCATGTATGCGTGTAATAGTGACTCCTGTCCATTGCTTTCTGAAGACCAGCGGGCATAATTATCAATAGTCTGTCTCTTTCCACCAACATTTATACTTCTGGTCACTACTATGAATGGTTGATTTGCATGTCCATCAAGTCTATAAATATGACAATCTAAATCTTCTAGGCTTATCTGTGGGAGGATTCATAATTTTCCATGTAACTTCTTTTCTGCTCTCCTGAAATAATTTGCTCTCAAATAAGATGATCTGGTGTCGCCAAACCTTTCTTTTGTCTTGAAAGGGAAGTTGTTGTAATGTGGGCCAAGAATGATTTCAGTGGTAAAGTTTCCAAACACGGACAGCTTTCAGGAACAGTATGGTCAGAGTATTGTATAATTAACAGCATTGTGTGTGGGTATCTTTGTGACCGTGATTATAGTGAATTATTATGCCTTGTTTAAAGTCTTCTAGTAAGATATTTGGGATTCTTTATGTTTCATCGGATGCTTTTCTTTTTTCGAACTTTTACCCCTTCTTATTGAGTATGAACTCTTAACAGCGCTCAGGTTGCCTTGGCAGTGCACTAGCTGTCATGAAGAAAGAAGCTAAAGTCCTGCCTGTGAGTTTTCAATTGAACCAGCATTCCTTCATTCTCTTTGATATGAGATGATTCCTTGTAATAGTATTACTATAATGACTAAGATAAAACAATCTATCTCAGTTGCTGAAATTTGCTTGCAGTCAGGGCAGTTGACACTAGAGTTTTTAAAGCCATTGTCTGCATTTAGAAAAGGTGGTTTCGTTGAATTCTCCATTCTATATAATTTGTGTGCACAGAAAACGGTTATGGCTGTTAAATTCAAACATATTAGTTTTAAGTTGATTGTGCTTTGGTAATTGGAATAATGGAAAGACTTTTTTTTTTTTATTAGGAGAAACAAATTTTTAAGTCTGGTCCTTCCAGTATTCCGAACCTTGGAAACTACAGAGGGGTCATGAGTTCTGCAGTTTTATTGATCCCACTTAAGTTCTTTTCCTAAGTGAAAGATTTGAATTCTGTTTCTCTTCTTCTTCTTTTGGAAACTGAAACACCAAAATATTGCTTGATTTTATGGCATTTTGTTTCCAGAGTAGTGTTTTGGTGTATTTGCTTGGGCAGGAATGCAAGGGTTTTTAGTAGTTGTCTCAGGTCTAAAAATAGGCTAGTATTTTTACGAAATAGTCAAACAGAAACAATTGTTACGAAATAGGCTAGTATTTAATGCATACTTTGGCTTTATGCTTCAGAGGCCTTCGAGGGTGTTTATTTAGCTGACAAGATCACCTATTCCCCAAACTCAATTTGTAAATAATTTGTTCTATCAATGACGTTTCTTCTTTTAACCAAACACGTCCTTCCCTGTATCTGTATAGCCAAACAAAAGTGATTTTCCCTCATCGATATGTTTTGCAACTTGGTGATGTTCTGACTTGTGGCTTGCTAACACACTCATATCAGGTGGGGGGAGTTAACTAATTGTCTCAAATTAATAAAATAGGAATAGAAGTTTTGACTCTGCTCTGCTTGGGCCTCAAAGCCATGGGTCTCCTCTCTCATTCCTGAATTTAAACACTGGTGTGCATGCGTTATTTATTTATTAACTCATAATCATCATCTATGATCAAGATTGAGGCATTATTTTTTCCTATAGAAGTTTTGAAATGACCAAATCTTTGAGCGATTCTCTAGGAAACTGTTCCCTTCTTTCTATTGTATCCCAACTTTTTAGGTTGAATTGAATTTTCATTCATCTTCATTGACACAGATAATAGGTTGGTCAATGTGGTTTTCTGATTATGTGTTTCTGGAAAGAAGCTGGGGTAAGGATGAAAGAACATTGCAGGTACGGATATTGCAATGGATGTCACATGAATTTCATATAATTTCTCTGTTTTTCTTATTTATATCATATGGGATTTGGCGTTGCAGTCAGGTTTTGAATGGCTAGAAGATTTTCCGATGCCTTTTTGGCTGGCTCTTTTTGTGGAGGGAACTCGCTTCACACAGGCTAAACTTCTAGCGGCACAGGAATTTGCTGCTTCCAGAGGAAGTCCTGTTCCTAGAAATGTTTTGATTCCACGTACCAAGGTGAATAATAGTTGAGCATTTTAAGTGAAGTAGCGGTTTGCACTTCTCAGATTGCATGTCATAATAGTAGATCCTTCAAGCCAAGCTTGTAGAGTTGCATTTATTATTTACCTCCTGTTTGCATCTTCCTGCAGAAATCTAGAAATGATCCAAAAGTTAGTAAGTGCTTAGCTTTTTCTTTTTTTTTTGAAACTAGAAACCACCATTTCTAGTTAAACCCAGAATCTGTGGTCTGTCGCCAATCTGTTCATTGCTTAAGAAAATTATAGTCAAGAAATGCATAGCAGACTGATATTGCCGTGTATAATTTGAGGTTTCAGTATGCTTAGCAGACTGATATTGCCATGTATAATTTGAGGTTTCAGTCAAGTATCCACTTATAATTGAGTTGTGTTGCTTTCAGGGTTTCGTGTCAGCAGTAACTCATTTGCGTTCATTTGTTCCAGCAATTTATGATGCAACGGTGGCTGTTGCAAATTGTCAGCCTGCACCAACATTCCTAACAATATTCAGGGGTCAATCTTCTGTGGTAGGCTAACAAAACCATAATAAATAATAATACTGGGCAAATAGAATGTTTCCTGTGCTTTGCATTTTGCATAAAACAACACTAAAAAAAGGTCTAACAAATTTCTGAATTATATACTTCCAAAGTTGCCTTCAGATTTTTTAGTCATTACTGGGTTTTTCAGTTTCATAAAATATTCTGGGAAATATTTACTTGTGCTTCAACTTGTCATTGAAATGAGTGATCTCCGTATTTTCTTCAAAATATGTGCTAATGATTTAGATTGAAAAACAATCGCAGACTGTTGGAATGATTGGATTCTGTTGTCTTGAATTTAGAATTGTTTCCCTTGAAGCATCAAAATTTCTAGCATTTCTAGCTAGACTGGGCTGGATAAGAATATCCAGCCAAGCTGGTACATGCATTTATTTTCAAACATGATGTGCAATAACTTAACCTGCAGCTGGTGGATCATCTAAGGTGGATTATCAACAAAGCCGCCAGGAATGCCAAACTAACCAAAGATGCTCCAAACCAAGTGAAGGAATAAATACTAGCCAGACTACCCTGTAACCAATCTGGACACCTCGAGCTGGATCCAACAGAAAGCTGAATTTGCCATTGGATCCCCTCTATTAAAGCAATATGATCAAACATAAATCTGGGCGCATGCCTATTATACAAAGCTTATTGGTGATAGCTAGGATTAGTTGTCTAACACACACACACACATGTACATATTAATTATTGAGGAGAATACAAGACAACTACTACAAGATTATAGCTCGCAGCAATTTCTCTCCTTTTCTGTATTACCCTGTGTTTCATTCTTGAATCATGATAGTGACTAATTTGTTGTCCCTTTCTTACAGATAAAGGTGCTTTTGGAGCGACATTCAATGCAGGAACTTCCAGAAACAGCCGATGGAATAGCTCAATGGTGCAAAGATGCATTTGTGACCAAGGTATGGAAGTTAATTGCAATCATATGTTTTTCTCATCTAAAAGTTGTGGATTGAAACATGTTTTCCACTGAAGGATCAATGCTATATTACCGTGCGATTTTCATAAAAGAAAAAGCTATAACAAAACATTTCCGTATGCTTTATCATTTAGAGGTTGCTCATCAGCTAATTAGATTTCATTTTTCTTGTTAAATTTGTAATTTGACACCACCCGAATACAATCAGCCGGGCATGATTTGGGTTTTTCCCAAACAACTTCTCATTTCATAATGCACACTTGGTTGAAATCATCTTTTTGAAATGCAAAGCAAGGAGCACCGAATGCTAATAAATAAATTTTAGCTATCAAGAGAAAATAGATGGTGGAAAGTCATTTTATTGAATGGAGACTTGTTTTGTAAACTAAAGTTGTCCCAGGAAATGGTGTCGGGGAACTTTATACACTCCCGTTTCACAGCTTGAAACCAGCCACCTTAAATTTGAATCCACTGCATTTCCTGCTTCAGTTAACTTTGTACATTACTCCCATGCCACTAAGGAGATATACCAGACACTTCACTTCCCTTGTCATACATGTAACTGGATGTTCAAGTTTCTTTTTTATCAAAACAGGATGCTGTGTTGGAGAAATATTTTGCCAAGGACATCTTCAGTGATAAGAAACTTCAAGACATTGGCCGACCTAAAAAGTCTTTGTTTGTAAGAAGATGCTAAAATAATAATGTAGTTTTATTTAGCTGCAGCTTTTATTTTTCTCTGCTTCTCATCTGTTCATGTTGTTTTATATGAACAGGTTATGATTTTCTGGTCAAGTCTCCTTGCCTATGCCACTGTCAGGTTATTCCAATGGCTGTCATTATTCCTAGCCTCATGGGAAGTCGTTGCATTTTCAATTGCTTTCTTGTTCCTCGTGACAATTATTATGCAAATTCTTATTCAATCATCGGAGTCAGAGCGCTCTACACCTGCAGCCAATTTCACATTATCGGAAGGAACGAGGCAGAGGCTCCTTCCAAGATAATCGTTGGATGTGGAGCCTGTCACTGAAAAAAAAACATAAAATTAATGGAAGAAAACAAAGACGGGAAAAGTGATTTCATCTGCTCAGAAATGATCTGTTGCCGTGTATGATAACTTGATTATGGACTTGGTAAGTAATAATTTATAGTGTTCTTTGTATATAACTGTTTTCTTGTATTTGTGGAACTCTGGCTTGTTCCTATAGTTTGATTCCTTCATCTTTACTTCTATCAGTGAGGACAATGCATTGGTGAATATCAATCTCCACGTTATCCAAGCTTTTTTAGGCTTTAACTTTCCCTAGAAATGTACACTAGGACTCGTCAACTGTTGGTAAAATTATATTAACAAAGAAACTAAATTTCTAAATTTTCTCGAGTAACTAATTATAAATTTACCCTTAAAAAAACCCATCAAACTAGGTTTTAGAGATAATATTATCTTTTCATCATAACACAATTATTTTTGACATATTATATAAAGTTAAACTTGTTAATTTTTTTACATAGTAATAGTACTACTTCAGCCTTGGAATAAAAAAATATAATACCTTTCAGTCATGAAAAAATAATGGAAGAAAACAAAGACGGGAAAAGTGCATAAAATTAATGGAAGAAAACAAAGACGGGAAAAGTGATTTCATCTGCTCAGAAATGATCTGTTGCCGTGTATGATAACTTGATTATGGACTTGGTAAGTAATAATTTATAGTGTTCTTTGTATATAACTGTTTTCTTGTATTTGTGGAACTCTGGCTTGTTCCTATAGTTTGATTCCTTCATCTTTACTTCTATCAGTGAGGACAATGCATTGGTGAATATCAATCTCCACGTTATCCAAGCTTTTTTAGGCTTTAACTTTCCCTAGAAATGTACACTAGGACTCGTCAACTGTTGGTAAAATTATATTAACAAAGAAACTAAATTTCTAAATTTTCTCGAGTAACTAATTATAAATTTACCCTTAAAAAAACCCATCAAACTAGGTTTTAGAGATAATATTATCTTTTCATCATAACACAATTATTTTTGACATATTATATAAAGTTAAATTTGTTAATTTTTTTACATAGTAATAGTACTACTTCAGCCTTGGAATAAAAAAATATAATACCTTTCAGTCATGAGTGTTTTAGTCGTTTCATATATTTTAAAATAGTGTAATTATTTTGATGCTTGATGTTCTTGGAAACAAAAACTACATAACTATTTTATAGGGTATTTTTTTTAATCATATTACATTAATTTATTGTAATTCACATATAATAATATTATTTTAGAGGTTGCTTAGGAATATTATAATAATTCACATATAACAAAAAAATTTCCTTTTATATTTGATAATGCATGCAACATGTGGACAACCATTGCATCATATATTGAGACAACATGCACGGGGTTTTCCAGCCATTAAAAACTACCTTTCATGGTGGTATTTGGAAGATGTGAGCTCCTTTGACCCGATAAGATGACAACTACTCCTAGATTCACCATTGTAAAACTTGGATGAAAACCTAACCCTAGTAACAAACAATGAGAGAAATATTTCTTTCTTCCAATCCAGAAGTAAAATTAGGTTTAGATTTATAGAAGAAGAAGAAATTTAGTTAACATGGGAGGCAGGTAGAGAAAGAACGAAAATTAAGGGGGCTAAATTAAAATTTAAGGGGGATAAAGTTAAATTTTCAATTATTTTTAAAATATTTAATAAGGGAGGTGTGAGAAAAAAATTTTCTGCAGGGGCGGAGCCCTACCAGCTTCCTTGTCTCCGCCACTGATAGGAGGGGTAAGATTGAAAAAAAAAAGTGTCATGGTATGAAATATGTAAAAAAAAAAATGTTGGATGGGAAAAAAAGGAAATATGAAATAATAGGGTAAATATACAAATAATAAGAATTTGGGTATATAAATACTCAATTTCTTCTCTCACGGCCGGCAGCTCTTCATGCTAAGGGGGGGAAATTGCTTAATCTTTTGTGCTTATTTTCTACTAGATTACATCAAAAGAAAGATGAGTAATTAGAATAGTTAAGGCATAATTAGAAATCAAAATGGATGATTAAGGGGTTGTAGGATTATTTTGAAGAGAAAAATCAAAAGTTAGGGTTTTAAGGAGGAAGAGAAGAGAACTTGGAATTTTCTTGCATTAATTCAATGTGATTAATTGCTTTGACGAAGAAATACAACTGTTAACATTATGTGAAATTGAGGATTTGTAGTGTGGATATTTGTAATAATGCAAATCGTGTTTGAATGATTTTTATAAGTATGAAATAAGATTAGATAATTAGTTAATTTCAAAAACAAAAAGAAGAAACAATTAATTAAAATTGGAAAATTGATACAATTAATTAAAATTGTTTTAAATGGCATGAATAAAGTGTAAATGGATGCAAAAAAAAATGAGAGGATGGTTTTTGGCCAATAAGTGTAAATGGATGTAAAAAAAATGAGAGGATGGTTTTTGGCCAAGATTACTAGAAAGAGGAGGGTTTAAATCTTGACCTTGTAAATGTATGTTTTTTTTGTATTTTTTTCCCTTCAATATTGGTTTTGTTATTTTTCAAATGTGTTGATGTTAGTTTTTTCAATCATTTTTTGTTATTTTATTTATTATTGTTATATTTTATTATTTAAATTATCAATTAATTTAATGACTCGAGTATTAATTTTTTTATAGTTTTTTTCTTTTGTTGAGAAAAAAATTGATTGCCTTGGGCTACATAACTGGTCATTAGACTATTTGCTAAATATGAGAAACGAATATGTTTGATTTTATAGTAAGAGTTTAGTTTTATATGACAAACTAGTTGTCTGTGATGTGTTTTAAAATTAAAGATGCTTAATAATAAGATTGATGTATTAGTCAGATAACAAATAATCTTTTAATTCAAGTAATCTGATACATTTTTTATAACTAAGGCATTTAGTGACTTAACATAAAAAATCTAAATAGTTGTTAGCTAGTGGATGGTGGTGCTTGGTAAATCAAAATAACTGGTAGTTAGTACCTATAAAAATTCCACTTATGAACATGAGGATTCTCAAATATTTAAGTCAATAACTTTATAGAGAGAAAGTATAATGATATTTTAGAGATATAAGTTTTAAAAATATATAAGCTGAAAGTGTTAAGAATAAAAAGCTTAAAAATCTTGAATATAAAAGATTCATGGTATATTTATAACTTATAAATCTTATTTTTTTATGAAGAAGAAAAATTAAAATATAATTTTATCTTTATAATATTTTAAATTATATTTTATTTAAAATAATATTAGAATTATCAACATAAAATATAAAAAGACTTGCCTCTGTTCCTAGAAAGATTTTCAAGAAAGTATTATACCTGAATAATAAGGTGCTTTTAAGTCCTTTAAAAATAAAAAAATAGAATTAGTCTCTTGCTTGCATCCAAAGAAGTTAAACTTAAAATTGCTGGGCATGACAGTACACCTAGCTTGCTGTGCATGCTAAGGTGTACATACAGGCACCTTGATAGTTGTTGGTTTTGTTAACTTTTGTCTTGTTGGGAGGTTTTGTGAGCCCTTTAAATTTGAGTTTATTAGCCTACATTGCATGGAGTTCGATCCTTAAAATGCAGATAGAAAGTATTAATAATGAGGCAAAGTATAAATCAACCAATGCAAACTTTAAATCAATAATGTTAAAACTAGGTTCCAACAAAAGGTGTATATTTCTGTCACTTACAAAAGAAGGAAAATTGTAATGGGATTTACAGGGAAGCAAAAACTGAATATTGAGTAACTGATAGGAAGAGTTCTAATTTCTTGAAGATTGAGAGAAAATATAAATTAATTATACGTTCCTGTCAAATGATCCCTCGTAATCATTACAAATACTCTAGAAGATGTGGGCAAATATTGTTCTCCGTGCATTGTAATCCCTCTCGCGCTGATATTTTTTTTTTTTTTTAATTTGATATATATATATTTTTTTTCTATTTTTTAATAACATTATCTTTTAATATTTTATTGATTATTAATTAGACATTGTAATTTATTTTTTTATTTAATTGCTTTATATTTGATTAACTCTTAATTTTATAAGTTTTTATTTTTAATAAAAAAAATATTAAAAAAATTTAAATTAACTCAATTAAATTAATTATTTAAGTCACAAGTTAATTATAATTGGTTAAATGTTAAATTTTATAATTTTTCTTAGTTATATAAATAGTTTTTAATTTATTAAATTAAATTTGTAAATGTACTTTTCAATTTGTAATTGAGATTTTTATGTTAAAAAACATTTAAAAATATTATCATATTAAAAAAAAATAATTTATTCAATCCGCGGCTATCTTGTATTAACTCGCTGATGGATCCCGGCCAACCTCTTAACGCAACTGTTCACTTATATGATCATCATCATACCTGTGGTCTTTCTTTATACCGGTTAGGCAAGAAGGCCGCCATTGTAAGTGTACCTTATCTTGATCATACGATCATATATAATCATTTCTTGTATGTTTGAAATTATAATAATAATTATAGTTTAAAATAATTTAAAAATATAAAAAATTAATTAATTTTTTTTTCTAAGTTAAAAAATATAATTTTAACTACGTTTTCAAACAAATTCAAAAACAATAACTTGTAATTTTTCTCATTAAACCTTTTTGAATGGGCGTCGATATATCTACAACACTAATATTTAGCGTTTGATATTTATCAAATTCTTATGTATTTCTAGCGTGACTACTATCATTACTAATTATAATGTTTCAAATCGTACTATCATTACATATTAAATTCTTTTGTCAAATGAGACCATAGTTCAAATCGTACTATCATTACATATTAATTGTTTGTGTGTTTTTTTTTAGTTCAACTCCGTACAGGTTTAGAAACTCATGAATGTGATCAAAATACTGTATATGTCATATACATCAAATAAAAGGATACTCTTTCCATAGAGGTTTTTTTTTTAAATCATATATATATATATATATATATATATATATCATGTTTTTAAGTTGTTTTTAGATTAAGATCTCATGCTTTTATAGTAGTTGTAAAACTAATAGTCTAATATATCTTAATAGTGACCATGTCATTTCCCATTCAAGACTCTGATTCAAGTGACCTCTTTATATTAAAAAATAAATAATTATTATGCTTAAATAAATTTATCGCTAATGAATATTTGATTTTGCTCCCTCCAGCGCTATAATTATCTTTGCAGTGCCCTAACGGACCAATGGTCATGAAGAAATCTGCAAAAATACCTTCCCCTAAGTTTTAAAAACCAAAACGTTAGTTAGAGTGGAAGATACATACAACAATCACTTTAATTTAATACTTTAAGCTATATTTATATTTGTATTATTTTATATTTAATTTTTTATTAAATAAATAAAGATGATAAAATTTAAATGTGTAACTATTTAGTTATTAAAATTTTAATATTATATAAAAAATCATCTTAATTCAAAACTTAAATTGTTATATCAATTCTAATATATAATTTATATTATTCTTTAGCAATATATTTTCACTTTGCTTTTATATTTCTGTTTGATGTATGATTCTTTCTGCAGGACTGCACGTTGAAGATCATATGTTGAAAAATGCTGGGCAATCCAATATTTGAATTATATCTGCAGATTTATGGATACATAAATTGGTTTAATGGGGCTGTATTTTTGGATAGACATTGGGCCAAAGAAGAACGCAATTTGAAGGTATACATAGTGAAATTTGCTAATCTATGTGTCCATCTTTTTTTTTTTTTTTAGATTAACGTGGGTGTCCGGACTAGCTTGTGCACACCACGACTAATCCCACGGGCCCTGAAGTTAACGACCATGTAAGCCTCCAGTGGCCATCATATGAGTAACTAAGGACTCGAACCTGAGACCACAAAGGAAGCATGTATCCATCCTTTGAGAAGGTGAGTCGTGAGCATTTGAGTGAATTCATCACCACAAATACCATAAACTACTTGGACTGTGTATACACTAAACTATGTTTGTCTTTTAATGGTAATCAAAACGAACTATAAGTAAAAAAATCTTTTTAAATGTTAATTATTTTTTTTGTCTGTTTAAATGTTTCTATACTATATTGTTATAGTACTATAATTTAATATGCTGAGAATAAGAGTAAGAGGCATGATATGATATTTTTAGAAAAACCTAAAAACCTAATAAATGATAAAAATATCAATTTTTTTAAATAATATTACAAATATTATTTTAGAATAATTTTATAAATTTATTTAATGAAGTCACTACTTGATTTTTTTTAGATCTAGTCTCCTTTATTAATTATATTTTAGATAATAATTTCTAAAATATTTTTATAATCAAATTATACTTGATTAATCATTTTATTTTAATTTATAACTAATAATTTTTATAAATACGAACTCATTAGATTTTCTAATAAGTTCATCCGAATATAAAAAAATTATAGCAGGCTAGTTTATATTTTCACCAGCAAAAGAACTCACCTTGTAACTTATAAATTCAATGTTTTGCACTTAGGGCTTTGTTTCGGCTGTACATTAATACATGCGTTCATTTGTTCCAGCAGTTTATGATGATACAGTTGCTGTGCCAAGAGGTCATCCAATGCCTTCTGTGAAGAGATAGGCAACCTTGTGTTGTGAGTTAAGACAGGATCATGTTAGTAACTTGAGCATGGAGACCCTTTCATGGTCCATTAAAGAAGTCTCTAATAGTAATAAAGTCCTAATTTTTTTTTCTTTTCTTCTTTCCCATGTCAACTTGAAAACTTGTTTGTGAGGTAACAGGGAAAGCTTGTCGACTTTTGTTACCGTGTTTTATTAATGGTAAAGTTGTTACTTCTGATATTATATGGGGTTACTACAGCAGATCTTCTTGCTGCTCCATATATTTACTTAATAGGCTAAGTCTCTTGTTAATAATGAAAAGCTTATGTTGAAGATAGATTTTAACAATGCTTTCAAACTTTACTTCCCCATTTTGGTTTCTTTGGTAATTGGAAGGGTCATCCAAATGTAATGGCCGTACACTCATCTGTAAAGCCGCTGACGACCCTCCATTTTTCCTGGCTTCAGCTGTCTTTTTTGCCATCAAAATTTTTTAAAGCCAGACTTTCACCAAGCTCGATGGAAGAATTTGACGCTGACAGTTTAACTTTAGTTGTGTATTAAAACGAGATGTATATTAATTAATTATAGACAATAATAATAATAATAACCAGACTTTGACGGCTTCTGGGATACAACAGTTTTCTTCCCCGGTTGCCGCTGCAACTGGTAAAAGGGGAAGAACATCAGTACATCACCACCAGATTCTAAATCATATTTACGAAAGATAATTTTCATTGGTGTACTCGATCAGTTTGACTGTGATTCGTTCTTGCTCGCGTACTTCTAGGTTTAATGCTTCTGTTCTCATTTGGAATCGGGTTAAAATCGAATTCTGAACCGCAGAATAGAGGATTTGGAGTGAATTGGTAGGGCAACCGTACAAAGAAGGGGAGAAAATGATGTATTTGTTTTCTTTTTGTAAGAAAAGAGAAAGAAAGAAAGAAAATTCACCATACTCCCAACTTCTCAATCCTTCAGTAGAATTAGTCCTCCGTTTTGGCAAATCAAAATGATTCCGGCATTAAAATTTGAAACCTTGCATTGTAAGACCCATTCACAGCCTGCCCGCTGCAACTAATATGCTCGTCGGTCATTTTTCTTCTCGTTACGTAACTTGATATATAACTACTTTATAGACAAAATCAGACTACGAACAAGTCCATGATGTTATAATTTAGAAGTATTTTGGTCCGATTACAGTTCTAAATTATAACATCATGGACACGTTTGTCATGTAAAGAAAGTATCGTCATTGTCAAACCGGCTAATTACTTGCTTGTCATGGAATCAGTCTGGTAGATTAGTTAGCAATCGAAAATAACAGCGAACTTCATTTCAGACTTGGTCTTTTTCCTACATAAAAATCAGATTGTACTCGGAGGTAAATCACCTGGCTCTTATTATATTCGTTTTTGTTTTGGTATATTTCCACAACTGGGAGTAGAATATTATAAACGGAGGACGTTCTGCGCAGATGGAACTAAATTCCTAGTCAGTGATAAGGAAACAAATTTGTCCAGATAATAACCATGGCATTAGGTATGAATCTGTCAAAGCAGAAATTGATGTAAACATATATATAACCATCATATTTTATTCATCATATCAGCTGAGAAGAAAGACTGTAGAACGAGGTTGCGAGCCTGCAACACAATTGTCGCATGTGTGGGTGATTTTGTCACACTTAAGCACGTGGCATGGCAGAACATCAGGATTGAAAAGTTTTTATCCAGTTGTTTCGTTCAACGTTGTTAGAAGACTCGAACGAGATTTTATATGAATTTCTAGTATAAAAAACTAGTTGTAATTAAAAAAATATTAAAATTCTTAATATATTTTATTTAAAATAAGTTAAATTGTATATTTTAAATATAATTTAAAAAAATTGATGAATTGCTATCTAATAGTGTGTTTATGGCGTTTAATAAAAATTCATATTCATGAATAAATTTGATAATTCAAATTATTATGGATTTGTATGACTAGATAAATTCTTATAAAAAATATTTATAAAAAATATTTATATTAAAAGACAAAAATATTTTTCATAATTTATATATAATTTATATATTATGGTAAAAAATATTTTTAATTAAAATTATTAAATATTCAAAATAATTCTAAGAATTTTATAATTAACTTCTAATATTTAAATATCAGCATATTTGTAAGTTCAATATTTATACTAACATCTTGACTATTAATTTTTAATAATTAAAATTTTTAAATTTATTTAAATATTAGTTAAAATCCTTTATAATTTTATAAATTTATTATAAAATCTATGCAATATGTTTTTAATGGTTGATGGTGACTGGCCTAAAAAAATAATTTTGCAGCAATTCTAGAAAATTTTAAATTTTATTTTTTAAAATTTTAAAAATAAATTCAAAAATCGGGTAGCAAATTTTCCAGCAGCTCCAGAAACCCATTCCACACCGAAATAAAATAAATCATGCACGCATGAATTAATTTCTGGACCTGAAGGGATGCTTTCTCTTCAATGAACACAAACTAGAATATCACCCTTTATTAGTATTTCTTGACACTATCAATTAGATAATGATTCTGCTATGAAGTAGCTAGGTTCCATGCATTTGTCCCGAATTGTTTGAGCGATCAGCATATATAAATACTGATGCTGCTTCATTTGACACTACGTACTTTGACGTAGCATTAATTAATTACTAGGATATACATGAGAATTCTCATAACATTATATGTTGAATATGGCTGGCTTAAACTGAATAGAATTGTTCATAAACCATACATTACAGAAGAAGTGGAACAGGTTCTTGTAATTTTAGTGAAACTCCAGCCAGGTTTGTCTCAATTATATATTTTCCGGCTCATTAAACTACATTTGGAAGTTTCCAAGGAGATCTCGCTGATCATACATCAGATCTTCACAAACCTAGAATTGTTCTTGCGATATTCTTAAATAATTATGAATGTTTCTGCAGGCAAATATCACTGTTGTTGACAATTTCAAGATAAATTATAAACTTTATACACGAGATCCATTTTTTTTTTCCTGGTGTTGACAAAAGCGTTAGTACATGGGATTAACATTTGGTTTGTTAGAATTAGTTGAAAACATCAAACAATAAAAAAATGTGTAGTAGTTGAGGCCAATGCTATAAAAGCTGGAAACTTTGCATTGATTCCCATCTCCAAACCACAGTTCTGGGAATTGAAGAGTAGCCAATTTCTCCAAACATGGCCAACATTTGGCCTCAACTAGTGTGTGCCTTGGCACTATGCTTGCTAGCTGCTCAAGTAGGTGCTGATAAAGACGACCTTTACGAATATTCATCACCGCGACCACCAATATTACCTTATTATTCTCCTGAATATTACTACAGATCTCCACCACCACCAGCACCTTCCCCACCTCCACCATATATTTACAAATCCCCACCACCTCCATCACCTTCACCTCCTCCCCCTTACATCTACAAGTCTCCACCTCCCCCATCTCCATCACCCCCTCCCCC